TATTACTTAAAACACGAGTCATATAACTACTATCAGTAACTGTGAACTCATGACGATGTTTGTAATGTAAGTATACTAAAACAGAGGACATCCAAGACAAAAAGGCTGGTCTACACGAATCTCAAACACCCGCACCACAAACAATCCTTGAGGGGTTTCTTGGATTTTGAATGTAAACCCCCAAAACAGGAAATCATATTGAAGGCGCGACTCACTCAAGTGCAAAAAACAATCATATGGGCAACACCCTTTCCCAGTTCCCGCTTAGCTAGTTTTGATGCAAAACATCCTAATGATAATTTACTGCACAAATCAAGTAATGTTACAAATTAAATTTATAACCTTGAAATCAGTATTTAATAAGTCGATATTGCTAATTTCAATAAAATCTATACATCTGCATAAGTGTTTATCAGCAAAAATACCCTTCTACAATTTTTCCTTGAGTTCATTTTAGGTACTAGTATTTTCACACTTGACTATAAACAATATAGTCTGATAACAGAGTCTCTTTTCTAAAGTTACCATAATTGAAACTATCCAGCATACTCTTATGATACCATATATGAATAAGCATCATTTTCTCGGAATATAAAAATCTGAGAAATCTTTTCTAGACCCTTTTGATAAGATTTATAATATTGACCTCGGCCTGGGGTGACCAAATTATTGCAGCATATTCAATATGTCTTACCAATGCATTATACAATTTAATTAAAGAGCTAATATTTTTAAAAAATGTCAAAAATGGGTATCAAATTGCATTGTCAGCAATTTTTCACTTTTCATTTAAAACTGAGTTTTGGTTCAGAATTGCACCGATTACAACTAAATGATCCAGATTTGTCCTAAAAGAGCTTTTTTGTTGCTTTTTTCCTTGACATATCAAGAGAAACTGTCCAAAATGATTGAAAATTTGCATTTTAACATTGTCTGCGTTTTTCACTTTTCCGGCATCAAAATCCATCCAATGTTTATTTATTTTTTGGGAAACATGTATTTCAATTAAATACCTACATAAATATTAATTAATAATATAATAATGTTAATTTCTCAAATGAGTATTTGAAAATACTGCTAAAAAAAAAACAAGCTAATTTACAAATGATATTTAACAGTAACAGTGGTGTATTAAACTATTTATTAATTTCATACTGTAACATAAAACCTAGCATAAAACACTCCAGACACACCTTCACGTACCTAGTTTCATTCCAGAAAATGAACTTCACTTTTACATTACTGAGTTGGTAATCATTGGTCAGTACTTACAATGTTTTGACCATAAAGCAGGTATAGGTGTATGATGCAAATTAGAGATACATCATTATTTCAAAAGATGACTTTCAATAAAACAGTTTGAAATAAAATATTGTACGTTATTTGTCAGGAAAAAAATTACAGTATGTATCCATTTCAAGATTCCAGACTCGGCTCCTTCATCGCCTCATCCGCAAACATCTCACTTATACTGTAAAGTTTAGTTACTTAACCGTTACTTAGAAATAGCATGTATAATATCCCAAAAATAACATATTATTATGAGTATGCAAACTGCATTAATATGTCAATCAAAAAGAAGCAGTTTAGTCAACTTTCAGCTGGGCATAATATTCATTCAAATCAATCAAAAAAGTACTTTATTGTCCAAGAAGCTTTAAAGCTATGGTCTTATTGACAAAGCATAATATATAGTCAAAGAACAACACAATATTACTAAGCAACATGCCCCACTGTATCAATCAATGGTGAAACCTCAAGTGAAACAAAGACAGTTGACCCTGTTGACAATGCAAATAAATACAGCTTACAAAACAGAGAATCAGTGGACTAATGCACTGGTAAGCAAAAACCAACAGCCTGTCAGAATCAAGGGATAAAATAATACTTTACTTGATAACTATAATAATCAAGAACAATACAATGTTCAAAGGCGTCAAAAACTCATTTATGCTGTACTCTTTCTCAATCAAGGTACTCTCAATACTCTGCTTCAATTTTGCAAGATAAATGCTCAAGATAGACCTTCAGAATTTCACTGTTTAGGCTGCTTCAATTCGCATCCTATACTACTTAAATAATTGAATTCGGCATCAATTTTCATTACAACATAATAAATAAAGGCATTAAGGGCCACTCCAGAAGGTCCAAAAAACAACAAAACACCTTGGCTTATCTAAACATGCTTAGATTGGATTTAGGAGCCTGGTATCACCTGTTTACAAATAAATACATACATCAATTTATACAAGAATCATGAGTTGTTTATTTCTGAAGTCATTGTTATTTAACAAACTAGGTAACCAACCTACATTCAAGTGTTGGAAAAAATCTAAATACAAGCAGGAACATTTACTCCAGTCCATTATTAAATTACCTCAGGCAGATTGTATCTTTAAGTGTCTTTTAGGGGATATAATAAAAAAAAAAAACCTCCATTCCCCCATGCACATTTACATGGTGCTGCCTGCTTTGAATACAGATCACCGCAATTTACATGACAATGAAAAAGGAGGACCGTCGATAATCACCAAGAAATGTTTATTTTGGCAACCCCCCAAGGATTAGTGTTGAGCTTTCGATTGTCCGAATATAAGTACAATACAGAAGTGCAGGTACATTCAACTTTTGAAAAAAAAAACTAATGTTTTCCCACATGACATTGTTTGATATGATAATTTTCAACTGAATAAACAAAATATGATTTAAGTATAAGAAATTTAAAAAATATATATACATATATACTTAGTTATGAATGACACTTTTGATGAATGAAAGGAGAATATTTTACAGCCAAAAAATAAGAATAAGAACAAACCAAGGTAGAAAACTCAAAGAAGCTTGTTGATCCAAGATTAAAAACTCAATCAAAAAAATTGTGCTCATATTTTTGTATTTTGACGCAAACCCTGTTTTTCTTTGCACCAACGTCCTGAAATCTTTAATAGAATCTTGAAAAAGTACAATTTCGAATTTTCAATTGCTTTCGTCACGTTTCCGCCAAAGCTCGGTCACAAAATATTTTTCGGATTTAGGACCCATATTGGCTTTCAACACTCACCCTGCCAACCCCGGTCTATCGATTTGGGGTTGTAAAGATGTAGGGATAAGTCACACTTTTATGGGTTATTTACTACCCCCCATCCTGCCGTTCTCTATTGTTTCTCTTTCAAGAGGGAGGCTGTAAACTGCCCTTTAGATCTTCATGATGACAGATTAGGGCGTGTATGGAATTGTGATACCTATAAACAACCAAATTTGAGAAATTATATTATTTACTTTGTATTTGAAGTCGATACAAAAATTTCAATTGATTTAAAAAAAATATATATTCTGATTAAATGTATCGTTTCCTCGGTTTTTAAAGCGATTTAAAAAACTATGTGTGAGGTAATTTAGCTTAAAATTGCGGTTGGTAAATCACAAATAGGCGCGTTGTAATAGAAATGTTCCACTTCATAAGCCAGTGATAAAAGAGGCGGTTTGGAGTTTTTGCACTACTAACGTCAATTGGATTTATTGTAAATTACACTTTTGTAACTAAAATCTGAAGTTTATAAACCATAAAAATGGAATGGTTTTTCGTAAAAATAAGTCTCAAATTTGGGAATACATATTTTTATCTGGATTGGTTTTGAATGTTTCAAAGTTGGGGGCAAAAGCTGATGCAAAAACTAAACCACAAGCTTCATCCTCTTAAAATATTGTACACGGTTTTAATTATAAAATAAAGTCAAATCGCCTATCCCAGTTAGCAATTCAAAATGTTTATATCCAAGGCTCAGTCGTTTTTGTGGGATTTTTATAGTTTTTCGAATCCGCCACTTTAATTTTGCCTTGCCTTTTAAAATGATTTTATAGCGGTCAATAAATATGCTTAACGACCTTATAGTGAAGTAATTGAATCCGTTACTTCAATGTTAGGTGCCTCTGGGTAATGTAATTTTTTTTATATGCCGCTGATAAACATTTTTAAGTGTAATTTTATTTTAAATAAATTTTTTATGCTTCTGCGTAGTTTTCTAAAAATAAAAGGTGTTATTATCAGTAATTCATGAAATATTTATTGATTTAATTACAATGGTGTTTGTTTTAATACATTTGATTATTTTCATTTTAATTGGCTGAGTAATCAGGAAAATGCTATAATATAATAAATCCTTGAATGAAAATATGAAATATGGCAGCTTCACTTTGATCAAGGATACCTTTGTATGCTTTTGTTATTGTATTCTGCTGCAGTTCTGCAATCTATTTGGTAGGTTCGGTATTGAACCAGATTAGATACAGAATTATGAATATGTTTGACTGTTTTTTTTCCAAAATTGCTATTAGTCAGAACAACCAATTTAAAAAATGTTCACCTGTAAACTGGTCATTTCTGTGTGATCATGCCATGTCTAAACGAATTTCAGAATTTCATGATTTTACTGTAGGATTATGTTTTACAGTGCCACTAGGCCCACAACCTTTGACCCACAACCTTTTAAAGTAATAAGAAAAAATGTTGTCCACAACCTTTTAAAGTAATAAGAAAAAATGTTGACAAGAGTTTACATGCTCTACAAGTTTGATGTTGTTTTGGCTTATCACAAACCTCTAAGACAAGGTTAAATAAGTTTTACATTAAGCGCTCAAATCTACGTATAAACTGAGGCGTACATGACTTACTGGGGCCTTGTTTCCAAAATTAAGAGCCGTTATTTCAATGTTACCTTAAAATCAAGACTTACCTAAGGTACCCTTAACATTAAGGCGAACTTCAAATCAGTTCATTCAGGTGGCTTAAAATCCACCTTGAATTAAGGGATCTTTGATATACGGTGAAACTTGTATTAAGGATGACTTAATGTTATTCTGTACCCTAAGGTGACATTGAAATAGCAGCCCTAAGCCTCGCAAGTTGTTTATTGGCTTAGAGCTCAAAAATAATCTACAGACAGTTGGAACGATTGCCTAAATCTCCTTATTATTTTCACATAATTTCTTTTCTGTTTCAGTATAATGTAAACTACCCACAAGTCTTTCACTGGAGTCACTGGACGACCAAGAAGTAATTATTAATCCGAAAATGGCGCAAACCCAGGGCGAGATCAGGGTGGGTCCAGGCAACCAGGTAAAAGACATTTATGTACGTTGACCAAAAACCGAAAAAGAACACACGGTAACCTCAAAATTGTTTATACTTTTCTCTTTTTTTTTTAGTCAGTTGGAATTTTAACATAATTCTCATGACAGACCGCTTACAAGAAGAAATTTTGTCTTTCAGGGAGTTCACTTTATACTTATCACATTTTTATATTTGTTTGTTACTTAACTACAATACTTATAATAATAATCCATTTTGTTTAAATACTTTTTATAAATATTTGCAGGTGCTTTTTCATTGAAAGAATATTTGTTACAACCTCTCAATGTACATATTAACTCTATGCTCCAAACTACTTTTTTTGTGGTAAATTATTATATTGAAGAATCCTTAATAATTCTTAAATGTTGAAACATAATTCCATATTAACGCCTCAGTTATTTCTCTGTAAGCGGTTGTCTCTGTTGTAAATATTAATAATAATTCCTATCTATTGGCATGACTTGCACGAGTATCTCGGAAACCCAAAAAAAAAGAAAAATGAGCATGGTATCTTATTCGGTAATTATTGGAGACGGAAACGCCACTGTGCCGGATAAAAAAGTACTTCAAACGTATCAATTCGGCCAGGGCAACTGTGTGTTTTGTAGGTTTGGTAGTTTTTAGTTACTTTGGGAAAAGGATTTATTTCGAAACTTTGCCTCAAAATTGAGGGACATTTTTGGAACAATCCTATTAGTTTTATTGGAATTATTTCAAATAATTAAAGCTATTATCACTATCACTATTATACTTTAGAATCCCATTATGAGGGGTTGTTTTGTTTTTGTGTTATATTAATATTGGGTAATTAGGGTGGATTTTACAGGCTTAGTTAGAATCGAAGCCATTAAGGGTTAAAATCCGCCATAATATGGGGAAGCTTAACATCTAGATTGCAGTAGTAGACCATATTTATTGGGAAGATGGCTTTCGTTGTTATTTGTTAGACAATATTTGGGATTATTAACATGACCTTAGGGAACAAAAGTAATATTTTTATTTAATGTACCTATAGGCTCGATTACCAGAATACAGGCCTGGGGTGCCTCCAGAACAACTGTCACCTGATCCAGAAGATACGCATATTAGGGAAGAGTTAAGGTAAGGAATCACATTCTCAAAATCAAAATTTTTCAATTTTTATATTGTACCTTGGCAAGTGAAGATTCCAAAATGTACTTATTTTATGCTGCAGCGTGAATATTGCAGTATTCACTCTTGTATATAGGATATTGTATCACCTAAAAAATTTGGTCTTTGTCCACTAGATGGGTCCCAGCATTGACTACGGATAATGATCTAATAATGTACCTGCGTGCAGCTCGTAGCATGGCTGCATTTGCAGGATTGTGTGACGGTGGATGTCCAGAAGATGGTGCTAATGCTGCTTCTCGGGACGACACAACTATAAATGCTTTGGATGTGGTAAGATTTAGTTTGTTGTAGATATACAGTTTTAAATAAATTGAAATGTATCTTTTTAGCTTCATGATTCAGGTTACGATCCTGGACGCGCCCTGCAAGCCCTGGTAAAGTACCCAGTTCCCAAAGGTATTGACAAAAAATGGAGTGAAGAGGAAACAAAGAGGTTTGTTAAAGGTTTGAGGCAGTTTGGGAAGAACTTTTTTCGGATACGGAAAGATTTATTGCCTCACCGAGACACAGTGAGTTTATAACACATACTCCTGCTTTGTTTATTAAGTAACAAAATTTCAGCCTGAACTAGTTGAATTCTATTATTTATGGAAAAAAACTCCCGGTGCTAATAATAATAGACCACACAGGAGACGTAGGCAAGGATCTTTAAGGCGTATTCGGAATACACGGAATAGTCGCGGAGGTACGACAAACGCCGGCACGGCAGGTAAGTTGTGGTTAATCGTGTCAGGGGTGGCCTCAAGAAATGCTCATATTTGGTGCTAGCTTTAAAACGAGCAAAATATTTTGCAGTAGTTTGATGAATGCCTCCTAACATAATTCTCTTTTATAAGATCCTCTAACTGCCTTGAAAAACTAACAATAATTGTAAATATTTTTGTACTAACCATGTGACTAACAATCATTTTTACAATAAAGTGTATTAATATATTAATATATATATAAAAGCTTCACCTTCATTTACCATAAAAATCAAAAATCCTTGATACAAAATTTACTTTTGTATATAAATTATCTTGTAAATATGATGTGTATGTACACCCAGTAAGGTTTGGTAGCCTAGTTTCTGTAGTGTTTTTCATTGTAATTTTAAATATATTGTACAATATCAAATTCCAAATTACACTGATTAAAATATGAGCATTACAAACCAACTGTCTACAAAAAGGTATTTGTTTCATTGTATATTCGCTTTTTTGCTGTCACACTATACTTGTAAGAGAGACTACGTGAGTCAAGCTTCAATCAAAATTTTTAACAGTTTCTTAGGCCACCTCTACAAAATATACAGGGCCACAACTTTACGTTTTTTAATCGGTACTTATTGATGATAGTTATATTTGTGTAGTGACCTGTATATTTTACTAGTGCATCTTGTGTTTTTGTTAATCTGTTTCATAAAAAATTCAGTAAAATTGAAAGTTGCTTCCAAAACATATAGAACATTTTTTTCTATGATGTTCCCGAAAAATTTTCACAGGCCGAACCAGCGGAGCGGCAACTCCTGCACCTGAAACAACAGGACCACCTGGCGAAAAGAAACCTGATGAGACCAGTTCGGTTACGGAGGATGACAACGAGAGTGAGGATGATAGCGATAGTCGGGACTCAAATTATCGGTGTTCGCATTGCTTTACAACCAGTAAGAGATTTATCAATCAGTAATAGTTAGTTACTGTATTTTGTATATTTTTCATCAATAGATTCGAAAGACTGGCAACCTGGGGGCAAAGATAAACAAATACTTTGTTGGGATTGTCGAACTTATTTGCGTAAAACCAATGAGTTACCACCTCTTACTGCTCCTGCTGCTACTGCCAATACACCTCCTGCAGGTAAGTTAACTTGATATAGTTTTGAGTCTTAGTGTTAGTTTGTCCACATTGGTATTTATGAAATTATGGGAGGCTTATTTAGGCTCTAATATTTTTTCTTGAAAATATTTACTTCTTTTCTAGAAGGTCCTGATGAAAGTCCCCAACGAATGCGGACCAGAAACAAGGGCAGTAGCAAAGAGCAGCCAGCTAATAACAGCAGTAATAGGTCTAGAGGAAAAAGAGGTAAATTAAACTTTAGAAACACATTTTGATAAGTATTTAATTATTTATTTGTTTAGAAACCCCAGAACCTAAAACACCAGTTAAAGGAAGTAATGGTAGCAATGATAAAGGCACTCCAAGCAATCAACAAGGAACACCTGCGAAGAAGAAGGGTAAAAATGAGAAATCTGAGACGCCAAATAAGAACAGAAAGAGAACACAAGTAAGAGTTAAATTAAGTCATTAATCTCAATTTCTTAGGTAACAAAAACAAGTTTACAAAAATTTAAGTAACTGTTTGATTGATATTATTAAACTTCCATATCGGTTAAACTAGGCTAGACAGCTCTAAACATTGATACGTTTTCTAAATATTCACTGAAAATGTCATTACAAACACCTCTAATTTAGTTGAAACCATTCTCTAAGGCTTTTAAACTTGGGTCTAAGGGTTGATGTTTGATTTCTTCTCATATGAAAAATTCTCTTCAGGACAAGATCGATGATACCGACGGAGACGAAAAAGACAACTCTAGTATATTTAAGAAAAAACGAGAACGTGCCGACAGTCCTGCCAGTATAACATCAGATTCTGGTTCTACGAATGAAGATACTGAAAATACAGAAACTAGTCAAGATACCAACAACAGTGGTGAAGCTACATCTTTACCAAGCGTTTCCAGTGTTGCCAGTTCAACTACTATTGGTACTGTTGTCAGTACCAATACAAATAATAATGTAATAGTGCAACAGGACCAAAATAATTCAAAACCGCTAGTCGAAGAACCTGAACAGAAAGTTGGTTCTTTAGTAACAACGACAGTTATTACACCTTCAATACCTGTGATTAGTTCTAGTAAAAGTCAGTCAGGGAGCTCTGTGGAGCCTATGCCTCTTAATGTGTCAATTCGATTGCCTGAGGATATTATCGAGAGGAAGAATTTAATTAAAAGGTAACAATTCAACAAATGCAGTTATGTTAAAATAATATTTGAACTTTTTCTTTTTCCAGAAACCTAGAAAATTCTCTTGATGCTAAAGACACCCTAAAATTCAATCCTGCATCACTACCTTTTAGCCAACCACAACAACAGCAAGAAGAAATTAAAAAAGAAGTCAACATAAAACCAGAAAACTTACTAATGAAAAAAGATGAAGTCAAAGACGAAATTAAGGAGCCTGTACAGGCCCAGACTCCTCCACAACCCTTACAACTTCTGGAACAGAAACCTGCATCGTTCAAACCCGAACTGGCTTCAAAAATGGAAAAACAAATTATCAAAGAAGAATTAGACTCTAGTAATGATGCCTCGCTGCTAAGTATAAGTTCCAAAGAAGACTCTAGCAGTCAACCATCTCTAAGCAATTACAAAGAAAATCCTATGTATATGCATCCAAATATGAACTTGAAAGAGAGCATCAGTTTCGGAATGAAGGACCCTCCGCTAAGCAACCATCTTCAGCCTAATCATGCTATGAATCTCAAAGAAAATAAGGAACCTATTATCAATATGAATCATTCGAGTTATTTGAAAGATGGGAGGGCGCAGGATCAGAATCCTTTTGGTTTTCCAGGACGAGAACCACCAAGGTAAGAACTTCAACCTTCAATTTATTGTTGGGTGTGTTTTTTTTTCTTTAAACAAAAACAGGAGCTTATCCAAAGGTGCTAAAAGTTTGTGGCTTGGTGTGGTGATAATGGTATGCACGTTAATATCTTTTAGTGCAATCTCATGATATTTTCTCGTCGTACAGTTAAAACTAATTTTCATTATCTTATCAATGGTGCAACATTACCATCAGTTGTAAACATAAAGGATCTTGGAATTATTCTGGATGATAAGCTATCATTTTCCTCTCGCATAACATGAATCATTGGTAAATCACTGAGAATGTTGGGATTTATTAAATGTAATACTTCTGACTTTGTTACATTTCCATTAAAATTCTATATTGCAGTCTTGTTAGAAGTCTCTTCGGAACCTCAGTATACTTTCCATATCCACAAAATTGAGCGAGTGAAGAAATTTATGCATCATATTCATTTCAGATTCTATAGAGTTACTGAATATAACTACAAAAAAATTTGTCCAAGGTAAAATATGTCATCACTTCAAGAAAGAAGAAGTATTATACAAGTATACTCCTTTTAAAAATTCTCAGCTCCCTTGTTGATTATCCCTATCTCACTTCCAGCATCGGTTTATATTACCACCTTGATACGAGAAACATCCCAACCTTCTATCAACCATATCACCGCCCCAACTACGGTTAAAATTCCTTTATCACCAGATCATTGTTAAAAAATGGCACTGCCGTCAATGAATAAATGAACATTAAAAGAACTAGCCTTAATATTATTTTTTTTTTAGGGAAAATCCTGGCAGTACAAATACAGTAATTAAAATGGAACCCAGAGAAGAGCCCATTGAGCTCACAAGCCAAACTAGAAGCGAACCTATACCCTATGGTACCATGCCTCCTCTGAATCTTCCCCAAGGAGTGCCCATGTCTCAGCATTTGCCTCAAACTCAGACTAGGAACAATGAGGTTAACAATTTTGAAATTTAAATACATAAACAATTAACCTTAATTTTGCTTCTCTAGGATGAAAAATCTCGGCAAGATAAATTGGAAAGACCAGAAAGAATCGATCGGCCAGATTTGACTCCCATGAGCTCTGGAACTACCATTGGTCAACCTCCATTGCCTATGCAGTCTGGGAATCTTGTAACTATTGGGGGGTCTCAGCCTCCTCCTTCTATAGGGCATTATGGGTTTATGCCTCCTTATGGTAGATCTCATTCACCTCCTAGGGGCTTGGAGAAGCCTCCTCAGCCTTCTCATGTTCAACAACAACAGGTAAGGAATTATCATCATTATCGAATATAAAATCAAGATATTTTTTTTAAACAAATTTCATCCTTAGACGCTGATATTTACTTTATTTAATTTCAAACAATCCATATAATTTCTTCTAGAATGAACCCCAAAATCTGAAAATAAAACAAGAAGTTCAGGAACCACCTTCAAATCCACCTCCAGTCAATTTTGCTGGAGGTTATGGCTCTAGTGGACCCTTACCTCCCACATCACAGGGCTTACCTCCCACTTCTGCTGGATTTGTACCTCCTCCGCCTTCACATTTGGCAGATCCATTACAAAGCTTGAAGGACGTCAAGGTGAGAGAAAATACTATTGTTATAAACTACTAAAAAAATTGCAACATTATTTTGATGTAACCAAGTAAATTTATTGGCAATAAACCCAAGAAAGTGGTAATTTGCTTAGTAAATATTGTCCTTCATGTATTTGAGATGTTTTATTAAAATTTATGCTGTGTTTATATTTGTTGTGGCCTCAAAATGTTAGGATGCATCATAGCAGTTTAGTTAAGTTTAAATTTTGTTAAAGAGAATGTTGATTTTTTGAGAGACATGTATTGTGTACTTTTTCGTGTAGGTTCCTGGCTATTTGCCACCACCGCAACCTCCTCGAACTCCAGAGAGAAGTTCTTCAGATAGGCCGCCTTCTGGTCCAACACTGGATATCATTAAAAAAGAACAACTTGACTTTGGCGGACCACCACCCAGCAGGGCTAGTCCTGCCCAGTCTGGAGGTAGTGAGAAATGCTTGACTCCTAAAACCAGCAGTACACCTACACCACAGGTCAGTATTCGAAATCTTAGCAACTCAAAGTTCAGATCATCTACAATAGTCTATGATGACGATTATTAAAATTATCTAAATCTTTTCTAGGTTATTTCACAGACACCGCCACTACGTCAGCCGCCATCATCGCCACACTCTGCTATTAATCTGATTAGTCCCGGAAGTAGCACTGGCAGTATTGGAGGTGGCGCACCTTCACATCCGCAGGTTTCATTGCCAGCTCCACACCCTGCACAACCACACCCTTCTTATCCTGGATCTATGCCTCCGCCGCATTTGATGCACCCTTCATTTTTGCATGTGAGTATTAATAGATTACTTATATTTTATTAACTAAGTAAAAATCTGTGAAGTTATAAATATAAATTATGTTGTCGAACCGATTGGTAGGTGTAATTATTTATCTGATGTTACAGTTCCATGGTCATCCTGGCTACCCAGCGTACCCCTTCGGGGCTTATCCATATCCTTACCCTATACCTCAGCCTCACGCCATTCCACCTCCGACTTCAAGAGAAATGGCTGGACCACCAAAGATAGATACCGTAAGCAGGGACATAATTCTTAATCTCAGTTTTATCAGAATTGTTAGACCCAATGAATATATCTTGGACTTTTTAAAATTTGTACTAGATTTTTTAATTTCTTTTAAATTTGTGCACAGGTAAGCGCTACAGTTATGTCATCACAACATAGCACAAGTAGTACATTGACGACGAAGAGGGAAACTAGGGAGTCAGATGAGCATGGAGGTGAAAGACACCAGAGCCATGAAATGACACTTACGCATAACCAAAGTATATCGCACAATAGGTAAGAGTAAATAAATTATTATATTGTTGAAAAACTAACAAATTTCTGTCTAGTTCTATTCATGCCAGTGTCGAAAAACAACCATACGGCGGCAGCCACAGCAGCATCACAATCTCTCACAGCACAAGCACCAGTTCTAGTCATCAGATGCAACACAAAGTCAATCAGAAAACTTTGCCTCCTCGATCGGTTTCGCCTGGAGCTCACGGTCAACAAACGACAATACAGCAAAGCAGTTCGTCCACAACTACCAGTGGTATGGGTAATCAACAACACACCCATCATCATACGCACACGCATCACGACCGGATGTCGCCGACCATGTTGAGGTTGAAAGCGCCGCCGCAGGCTAATCCTCATCATTTGATGATTCAGCCGCCGAATATGGGTCATCATCCATCTGGATTGGGTAAGCAATAAAGTCATGATACTGACTCTGACTATGAGAAAGGATCAAGTACCTAATATTTAAGTATTTTTGAATGAGTACTTACTACTTGCCACTTTCTACTCCTAAATTTCTTCTAGTGAGCCAAATTCCAGAAGTTTCTAAGCACTGCCTATTTTGTGTTAAAAATTCTTCTAATATCATATTGTTCTTTCAGATTTGTTTGTTAAATTCATTCTCATTGGCTGGGTTTTGACCATAGCTACGATTTTTTGTTTTCTAAAATTTTAAACAATCTATAATAATTCTCTCTAGGCCCTCCCCCAATGTCTGGTAGTTCTCTTGACGCTCTTCGTGCTCATGCCGCTCAAGCAGCGGCTAATATGCAACAACAACAACAACAACAGGTAATAATGAGATTTTTACTAAATGTGAAACATACATAAATTTCTCTTTTTTCTTTAGCAACAACACCAGAGTTCAATGCATCCTCCAAGTACATCTCCAATGAATCCTCCCCAAAAAGGCCTTTCAGACGATGTGGTTAAGATTGAGCCAGATCACGATGGTTCTCCAGAGGACGACAGCCAAAGTAGTCCTGTGGGACCACCAAGGTAAGTTTTTTTAATAATCGAATCATGTTTTGAGCATGTAAATAGTTGATTTTGCTTCCTATACTATGTTTCTATTTTAGTCATGCTGGAATCTCAGAAAGCAGAGAGCCAGAAAGGTGTGTTGCAGTTTCATTATGTACTTGTACAACAAGGATATAATGAATATATTTTAAAAAAAACCACAGAGAAATTTAAACAATTTGAAATTCTGAGAAATTTTAATATTTCACAAAACTTTCTTGTTTATTTCTTATGTTTTATGTTAAATTTTTTTTGAATCAAAATGATATTTTCCTTACAGAGGCCCATCACCCGAGCCCAGAATTGAAGACACTGAATGTCACAGAAGTCAATCGGCTATTTTCTTGAGACACTGGAATCGGGGAGATCATAACTCTTGCACTCGAACTGACTTAACTTTCAAACCAGTCCCTGATTCGAAACTTGCCAGAAAGCGAGAGGAGAGAATAAGGAAACAAACGGAAAGGGAACGAGAAGAAAGGGAGCGAGCGCAACAGGCTCAAGCGAGAAAAATTCAAACTCCCGATAAACCTGACGTCAAACCCCCTTCCAGAGGACCTATGGAAAGTATATCTGCTCCATATGAAAGGTTCCCGAGGCCCGGATTTCAGGATACGCCGGCTTTGAGGCAGTTGTCTGAGTATGCTAGGCCACATGCTGGGTTTAGTCCTGGGCATATGCCAAGGTAAGAATTTGGAATGTGTCCTCTAATAATTTGTTCAGATTTTTCTGAAACCTATATTGGATTTTTAGTGCTGTAGGAAGGCGATATAACAGGAGTGTACTTTGCTCTTAAATGTGGCTCCAATTCGAGAAATCTTCAAAATGTTATTTTCAAACAGTGGCGGCGATATGCATAAGTGGATATAAGCCATGCTTAGGGGCCCCTTTATGTGTGTAGAAATGCTTTAAAGTAAAATTGAGAAATATAATGACTAATATCGATCGATATACTTAACTGGTACATTCCTTCCAGTTGCCACCGCTGAATGGTCATTTAGTAAATTAAAGATATTGAAAAATTACTTGAAAAATTCAATAAGTCAGCATAGACTGGATGAACTTTCTATTTTGTCTATCAGACATAGCACACAACATCCAATATGGATATTCGGTATTTAGTTCCTCCAAAAAAGCCATAGATAATCAAAATTTGAACTATTATTGGCTCTTGATTCCTTGGAAAACTTTCCTAGAGCCAATCAAGAGCCAATAATAGTCAAAATTTGAACTTTTATCATCTCTGGATTCGCTAGAGATTTTTTTTAAGGGCATTCAAAGCTTGAGAACCAATAAAAGTTAAAATTTCGAATGATAATTGGCAGTTTTTAAGTTAATATTAATCAAAATTTCTTCTTCCGCAGCGTCTAATCGAGTCTCTTAGTTGAATAATTTGCCAATAATTAAATCCAGGGGGGCTTAATTGTGATATTTGCTTAGGGGTTCAGTGCATCCAAGCGCCGCCACTACTACTTTCAGGACACCTTGAAAATCTACCAATAGAGGATGTAAAATCTAACGCCAATTAAATTTGTTTGTTTCAGATCTTTGATACCTCCGTCTGTGATGGACCCTATGCTGCAATATCAGTTAAATAGCATGTATGGTCCTGGGGCAAGAGAAAGATTGGAATTGGAGCATCTTGAAAGAGAGAAGAGAGAAAGAGAAATTAGAGAGTTGAGGGAAAGGGAACTCAATGATCGGTAAGTCGACCTACACTATTGCTGGATGGCAGTTCCCAACCAGCTTATGGTTAATTTCAGCCAATCAAAATCGCTGCAATGGGTTGGGATTTATCCAGACAGGTTTTGTGTGTAAAAAATTAAACTATTTGTCCTTAAGGTTGAAAGAAGAAATAATGAAATCGGGTATGAGACCACCAAATACAGTGGATCCCCATTGGTTAGAAATCCAGCGACGATATGCCGCCGCTGGGTTGGCTGGACCTCCTGGCGGTCCTCCTGGGTTATTACCGCATCATTTTGCACTATATCCAGGGGGCGGTAGTGCTGCCCAACTGTCTCAAATGGAGAGAGAAAGGTATGTGTAAGTTATCAAAGAAAATTTTTGCAAAACTTTCCAAAATTTTGTTGTCTTAGCGAAAAAGACTACAAAATATTTGACTTGTTTTATACATTGGTAATATTACAGGTTGGAGAGATTAGGAATCCCACAATCGGGCGGGCCCGGTCCTGGAGGACCACCCGGCCACCCTCACCACCAAGCTCATGCTGCTGCCCAATTGGAGGCCGCTGAACGTTTAGCTTTGGCTACAGATCCCATGGTAAGAATCTATAAATTTTATATATTTTTTTAATTTCAATTTGGCGACAGAAGAATACAAGAAGTGGTGAACTGTCATAATCTTTTCCCTTTTATCTTTACTCTTGCATTTTGAATTTTGTCATAAATGTACAGGGTTATTGGTTATAACTGTCACCCCCCTCGATCTTTTTTATTTGATATTTTAGAAAAAAGTGTCCCAAATAAAAGTTTTATAGTTGAAATTAAATTTTTTGAAAAACTCCCTTTCGCATATACAGGGTGTTTCAGAAATGCTGGTCGTGCTCCAACTTTCTTATTTTAAATGGAATGGTATATTATTGAATATTCGGATTCTACGTAAAATTCTGTGAAGATTTTATGTTATATACCCTATACCTAAATTCAACTAAGTATTTTGGAAATATTGACAGTTGAAAATTGACTTTTTTGCAACTTTGACAGGCTGTGAAACCTAAACGGTTAATCTTAGAGCAAAACCGAACTTACATTTTTTTCTTAGATTTTCATAAGCTATGATTTGACACCAACTTTGAATTTAACCGGAGATTAAATTTGATTTGAATTTTTAATCATGGATTAAATTCAAAGTTGGTATGTCAAATATCAGTGTCAACTGATAGTTTATGAAAATCCAAGATAAAAACATAAGATCGGTTTTGCTCTAAAATTAACCGTTTAGGTTTTACAGCCTGTCAAAGTTGCAACAAGTCAATTTTCAACCATCAATATTTCCAAAACAGTTGAACTTAGGTATAGGGTATATCACATGAAATCTGCTCAAAATTTTATGTAGAATCCGAATATTCAATAATATACAGGGTATTCTATTTAAAATAAGAAAGTTGGAGCGCGACCAGCTTTTCTAAAATACCCTGTATATGCGAAAGTGAGTTTTTCAAAAAATTTAATTTCAACCATAAAACTTTTACTTGGGACACTTTTTTCTTAAATGTCAAATAAAAAAGATAGAGGGGGGTGACATTTATAACCAATAACACTGTACTCATGACAAAGTAGAAGCACATTTTTTGGGTATAGATAATAATATACATGCCAAAAGTAAATATTAGCACTCTAAAGTAACAAGCGATTTTGTGTAAAAAATCATTTCTTGTACTATTTCCTATTCTTTAAGTTAATAAACATAATATTCTACCATCGATTTTGTATCGTCCCATATTATCAAGTGGTTTTTGTGTCGTGTTGTTGAAGGTACGGCTACAGATGGCGGGCATATCTCCAGAGTACCACGCCCATACGCACGCCCACACGCACGCGCACACACACCTACATTTGCATCCTCAACAGCAACAAGCGCAACAGGAGGCCGCTGCTGCAGCGGCTGCAGCTGGATTTCCTCTGCCAGGTAAGAGAAATAAATCTATTTCAGTTTAACCTTAACCTAATGTAGGCTTATACCTGAAATAATTTACTTTACATTTATTGATTCATTTAAAGTATGGTCTTACCTGGTAAGATATAACTTTCAGTGAATGTATTTACAGAATTGTTGCTAGGTATATCTTTTTGTCTCTGTTACTCAAAAGTTCATTTTGCCATGAAAATGTCTATTCTGATTTATAATCAAAGATAAGGTAAAGCTCTTGGGGTCATATCAGATCGTAATGGAAATTCTTTTTTCTAGACATTTTCATAAGACCACATTCTTTTGGATGACAGAGGGATAATCAATGAAAAGCCTTTTTTTAATTAAGAAATATTTCATGTATTTAGGAATGTCTAAGCCAAAATTACACTTGAAATTAGAAACACTATGTCATCTATAAATATGTGTAATTTTCAGTCATAATGTTTTTTGAATTCCTTCCTTATTCGTCTTAAATTGAATTTGATATATTTTTTAGCATCTGGCGCGCCAGGGTACCCTAGACCGGGAATGATGCCAGGAAGAGACGCTCCGCTAGGTCTCCACCATCCCGACTTGCTGGGCAGACCCTACGCTGACCAACTGGCTCACCAGGTAACTATCAAATCCGATTTTCATAATCAGTGATGAGTATTATTGTCGTTATAGTGATCAGTAAAATTGAATATTTTGGCTGTAAATATTTTAGCCTGTACATAAAAAGATTTCTGGCTTTTTTGTTTGCAACATTGAAAGTTTGTCGAGAGTAAAACCTAAGTTGTTTGATAATTATACACCCAAAAAAAATTTTGTTTTAAATTGCAATTTTACTTCAATTCTAAATAATATTGTTGTTGTTAAGGCGGCAGCCCATGAACAGCTACAAAGGCAGATGATGCTAGAAAGGGACAGGTTTCCGCCTCACCCCTCGATCGTGGCTCAACACGAGGAATACCTAAGGTCCGTCTTAATCTTTTTTTTTTCTCCTCCACCAATTAAATATATATTTTTTTTTGTCCTTCCTTTTTATTGGTGCTTGGGGCTTTTTATTTGTTTGTAAACGACTATTTGGCATGGACTAAAAATCATCTTTTACAATAAGAATTTTGAAGCCTGCCTCAAAATAACAGCTTATTGCTTTTTAAGTGTTTTGGGTTCATGCTTTATGTTATTATTTTTTTTTGCTTAGGCGTTAGTGTCTGTTCCAAAGGGATACTTAAATAATAATCATCATTCATATCCATAACAAGTAGCTTTCCTAATTTTGATTTAATTAGATTTATTTTTTTTTTGTTGCTTTTTATGGTGTTTTAGATAACTTAGAAGCTACAAAAAAAAATTGCAAATACAATTTGTTTGAGAGTGATAATACAAGGTGTCCTTAGATAAACTGAAACATTTTGCATGTAAACATCTTAAGGGTTGGTATTATGAAACTATTTTGATAGAAAACTAGAAGTTGCTGGAATTAGTATGAAATTCCAAAAGTTAACTTTTATTTTTCTGTCAAAAAAGGTTTATAATACCCGCCCTAAAACGAGGAAATCACGAAATGCGGTTTGTTCTGGGAGATAAAAGATTTTTTAAAGTTTGTTTCACAGTATTGCCAAATCCTAAAATTTGATGAAATTTGGTTTTACAGACATGCGTTTTTTTGAAACAAAAATACTTATTTTTAATGAAATACCTACCCTATATATTTTTTCATCAGCGGAAAGCCTGATTTTTCTACTGCACAAAAGTTGTAATTAGTTAAATAAAAGCATAATGAGAGTCTTAGCAGTGACCAGTGACCAAGGTTATTTTATGGAAACGAATCAATTTAAAACGAGTAATGGTTAAACGAGACTTCTACCAGTTATAAGTGAGAAAATGATATGACAAAAATGAATTTAACATGCGTCAAATGCAAGGAAAAATTTACAACAAAAAGCAAAGATAGAAACGTTCCAAAACCACACTTTGCAGCACCATGTGATGCATGCAGAATTATATCATGCGAAGCATATGAGAAATGGTCACCTACCGAAATCCAGTTCATCAAACTTAAAGAACGAGTGATATCCTACTTCTGCACCTCCTGTGTAAAGTCCCTTAGAGAGTTTCCGAACTTTAAGAAAAAAGCTGGCTCAGAAATAAAAACGGTAAATTCGAAAGTGACTACACTAGAAGTTCTTGTAAACGACTTAAAACCGTTAAAAGACCAACAACTCCCAGAAAAAAATAAAACAGTTGGACACCTCTCTGCAACAAACTCAAAAAGACATAGAAAACCTAAAACAACCAAGGTCCAACCTATGCGGAAATAACAGCTCTGAAACAAAAAGTAGAGGTCCTGGAAACATCGAACGGACTTAAAGAGAGCAATCCCACAGTTAAACCAACAATCTCTGAAATTCTAGAGCGAGAAAAGAGAGCAAATGATGTTTTGCTTTTTGAGGTCCAAGAGGTCACTGGGGAAGACTATAGAGAGCGGAAACCCAAATTCAGCTGATCCAAAAAACTAACTTCTGCCCTGGTCGACATAATATTCTACTATACAAACACCTCCTCCATTTGAACAAAGATCCACGAAGTACAATCCTTGCTGTGCAAAGAAAAACCAACTTTCTAAGCACAGAAACCTGGCTCAATGAATCTATTCCCGACTCAATACTAGAAGTCACAGGCTATAACATCCACAGGTTTGACAGACCATTGCAAGAAGGCTGAGGCGTTTCACTGCATCGGAAATAAATGGCTACAAAATCAAGGTAAATCTCAACAAAAACTACTCTCTTGAGGGAAGGATTGATGTCATATTTCTGAATGCAAACATATGCGAAAAAATCTACCTAATAGCTTGCATCTACAGGCCAAGGCAAGCAAGCCTCGAAGGAAACACCCATCTTATCTCTGTCCTACAACAAATTCTTGACAAAAACTCAGACGTACTTATCTGCGGTGATTTCAACTACCCAGAAATATGTTGGAAAATTCATAAACTAACTAAACCTTGCCCAAAAGCAAGCGACTTTCTTTTATACTACAAGGAGTGGAGATGTCAACAACTGGTAACTTTTCACACCCGATTCAGAAACAATTAAAGCTCTCTGCTTGACAGTGATAAAAAAATGATATCACATCGAATTTAGTTCTCCCATTGGCAAGAGCGATCATGTAACAATAAAAGCCACAGCGCGAATAATAATCAGAGGTAACTGAACCAAAGAAGTAAAAAAAAAGGAAATGTTCACATCAACAACTATCAACATGGTAACTGACTACATAGGCAACCACATGTCAAAGATGCAACCAACAGTTACAGACTATCAAACTTTTCAGGACGCCATTATCATTACAATACAAACATTTTTCCCAACAGCCAAAAACCTTGGCTAAATCAAAGAAATGGACAAAAAAAGAAATCTATGGAACAAATATATAAAAGTGTATAAAACACAAAAAAGATATGAACTATAGCCTGTACAGGGTAGCCCAAATTCGAGCCTCATCATTGGGATCTTGATAACCGTAAGAGATACGGGGTCGGTTAAATTATGGCAGGGTTGCGCAATTTTATGACCAATAGAATGCCGTTTTGAAACTAGAAAGATTCCGAATACTTCCGGAGATATTCGGAAAAAACCGAAATTTTGTAAAATCGTTTTTATTTTTTCCCGGGCTTATTTGAAAAGCAATTTTAAAATAAATGTCACTTCATCATTGTCACTTTTTCCCCTGAAGGGCCAAATTATGGACCAACTGGTAGGTGTCTGGTTGTTACCTAGCAGGTACTTTCCATTCTCTAGTGCATAGAAAGTACCTGCTAGGTTACAACCAGACGTTTACCAGTCAGTCCATAATTTGGCTCTTAGAAGATGGTGCTACTAAATTTGAAATTCGACGTTTCGTCTTCAGGCGGCCATTCTCAACTTACGTTTTTTAAATACGGACCTAGATTTTTTATTTGCGATTTTGTCTTCTTTGGGCATTCTAAAACCGATACTGTTTATAATTTTATTTGTCACTCATTTGTAAAACGTCACTTATCAAGTCAAAACATACCCAGCGAAAATTGATTTTTACAAGCTACTGGCTCTACTGACTTGTAAAATTGACAGCTAAACTGTAAAAACTTTTTACAAGTCAGTAGAATTATTTATTTTTGAAAAATCGGTTTTATCACAAGAATAATTGCTTGTAGGTACCTTCTAGGAGACTTTTCTGGTGATAAACTGTTGGCTACGACTGCAGCTTCATTAATAATATCTTGTAATAAATTCATTTCTGGAAAAAAATTGCAAAATGGAAATCTGTCAAAAAACCTATTTATAACTAGAAACAACGTCTTAACAACGTATCATTCTCATAGTTATACCAACTACCAAAACTTCTGTGAGAAAAAATCAAGGAAAAACATATAAATTTCAAATTTTTGTTATGTATTGATTTTTTATTTGTCCCTATATCTTTTACAAATGAGTAACAAATAAATTATTGTACATTATACGCCAGGTAGCAGTTTTTACTGGCTCTTGAAGGTGACAAGCTCGCCTGGCGGCTCGCTAGTCATTTCCTTCAATCGCCAGTAAAAACTGTTTTACCTGGCTAATAATGTAAAATACTATTTCAATACCACCGTTAAAAAAGCAGGACCGTATTTAAAATTAAAAAAAATTGATGATGATTTCCAGAGGAACGAAACGTTGGATTTCAAATTTAATACCGCCATTTTGTAGAGAAGAAAAAGTGACAATGGGGATGTGAAATTAGTTTTTCAAAATCTTTTTAAATGGAATCAGGGAAAAATTTAAGAAAAACGAAGAATTCACGTTTTTTTCGGATAGTTTTCATTTTTTCCTGATTTTATTTAAAAAGATTGTGAAAAACTAATTTTACATTTCCGTTGTCACTTTTTCTTCTCTACAAGATGGCGGTATTAAATTTAAAATCCAACGTTTCGTTCCTCTGGAATACGGACCTGCTTTTTTTACTGTGTTAGTGAAAGATTATAAACATTATCGGTTTTAGGATGCCCAAAGATGACAAAATCGCAAATAAAAAATCCAGGTCCGTATTTAAAAAAAGGAAGTTGAGGATGGCCGCCTGGAGACGAAACGTCGAATTTTAAATTTAGTAGCACCATCTTCTAAAGGGAAAAAGGGACAATGATGAAGTGACATTTATTTTAAAATTGCTTTTCAAATAAGCCCGGGAGAAAATAAAAACGATTTTACAAAATTTCGGTTTTTTCCGAATATCTCCGGAAGTATTCGGAATCTTTCTAGTTTCAATACGGCATTCTATTGATCATAAAATTGCGCAACCCTGCCATAATTTAACCGACCCCGTATCTCTTACGGTTACCAAGATCCCAATGATGAGGCTCGAATTTGGGCCACCCTGTACAGGACACAAAACAACAATCTCAAGCACTTAATATCAGAATCAAGAGAACAATACGAATAAAACCTCCTTGAAAAAGACGACAAACACTTCTTTCCCTATATCAAAAATAATCTAAACAGCCTTCTGCATAACCTAATTCTCAAATATACCGTATACCAGCAAGTCCTACAAGATCCCAAAGAAATAACAAACGTATTTGCTGAACAATTCAACTCTGTCTTCAACAGGGAAAATCTAAATGGTTTTCCCTGCCTTCCAATTGAAACCAAAAACCCAAATGAACTAGCTCTAATCAACTATAGAAAAGGTTGATGCAGCTCTCCAGGACCTGATGGAATACCGGCAGTATTCTTGGAAAAATGTGCCAACGTGCTATCTCCGCTGCTAGCCAAGCTTTTCCAAGATTCAATCAACGAGAGTACCCTACCTGACATCTGGAAGCAAGCAATTATCATCCAAATTTAGAAGGGTGGAGATAAATACGACCCTGCCAACTATGCCAGCTTTACATGCACCTTATGCAAAGTAATGAAAAAAATTCTAGCCAAGGAAACTACAGCATTCGTCCT